AGAGCATGATCTACATGAAGCAAAAAATACTCAAGAACACTCTTGGTCAAAACAAGAGGTCATGGGACCAATTTCTCTGGCTACGTCTAAACTATAAGCTTTTTGCTCAAGAAGCTTTTGTTAGAGATCTTCTGCAAAAACTTCTTGCACAAGAGTGCATCCACACTGCAAAAGTGCATCGAAAAAGCAATATGCTTTTGCTAAAGAGAGCGTCCAGATTGCATGGATGCTCTCTTGAAAGTAAACACTGATTGGTATGCACAGAATGGCCACCAGGGCATCTGTGCTTTTTCCCCTTTCCTCTTTTTGCACAAAAACCCCCTCTTCCCCATCCACACATGCCTTTTTGAGAAAGAACTCTTTCACAAAAAGGCAATCTTCCTTGTAGAAAGAGGAATACCAATTGCACAAAAACCACTCTGTTCTTTCAATTCTCTTGTGCAAAAATGCGCTTGAGGTGTGGACGCTCTTTTTTCCACAAAAACTCTGTAGTGTAGACATAGCCTTTAAGTATGATTGGAAGTTTGACCTAATCATTGTCTACAGGTTTACATCAAAGAAATCAGGGCAGGCTTATAGGAATTTTACGCTTGGCACTGGTATTTGCAAGAAGGAAAAGGCATCTCCATTACAAGGCATAGGACTTAATCTCGGAGAGAAAAAAGGGAGCTTTACAAGTAGAATAATGTTTATACTTTTTTTTATGATCTTGAATAAAACTTTATAGAGTTCCATGACTTACAGATGAACAAAAAATGAAAACAAACAGCCATCCATTTTTCATACATGAGAGAAGCCAGCAGAAGCTATGAATGTTTTTAAAAAATCAGTTTCTCCAAAAATCATGGGACTAATTCTGATTTCCACCAGTGTAAATCAAGAAAGAAAGTCCACTAAAGTCAGTGGAGTTGCAATGATGTAAAACTGGTAAGATGAAAGAATTAGGTACAACATATTGCCACAGCATTGCTACATTTGTTTGAAATATTAAAACCCATTTTATTAAAAAGCTCTTTAAGATGCTTACTTCATTCATTAGTTTTTATCTGATGTGTTAATGGGTACAAAATTTTTTATTAGGTACATAAAATAGGAAGTGTGTCAATTACATTTCATACCATACGCCGAGCATTTCAGACTGTGCAATTCCAAAAATTATCATATTACACCACCAAAACCCAATTGTACTTGTTTTGTAGGTCACCTCCACATGTGAAACCTACAACATGGCCTTAAAAGGAGATACTTCATTGAGTATTCACTAGTAAACTAGGAATAGAAAGTCTCAGAGTACAAAGGTGCAGAAACTGCAATCACACCTGCCATCATTTACATTTGACATCAAAACCCTTTCCTCTCTTTATAGCATGCCTTCTGTCAGGCATAACACCATGTATGAAAATGGGTCAGGGAACAAGCAGCATGCTGCATTGTTGCACAGTCCTGTCCACTTGTTAGTGATTAATCAGAGAATCTTTTCTTTGTGTTGTCTGCCTTGCTCTAATTCCTTTGGAGTACTCTTAAGCCGTTATTGAATGAAATCTATCAATTAACAAGGGTGTACAAGTGTATGCTGAAGTTTACTTGGCCTTTCTACTCAGCTCTATTAAGAATTTAGAGGCTGTTGACAAGAATTAAGCCTACAAGTGAAATACTAAATGCAGGGTTCACTCAAGTATTTGACAAGCATGTGCTTTCAATATCCTAGCACTCTTCTTTACAAAATGATGCTCTGTAGTGTGATAGCACTCAATTTCAGACCTCCATGCAGAGTGCAGCTAAGTAATCCATTTAGCAGGGATAGTAAATGCTCACACCATTTTCAAGACATAGTAATTAAGATGGTGAGTGTGAGAGGCTTGACCCTAGCCACAGGTGTGAGTGCTAAAACTTGGATTACATATTAGACACTCTTCTTTACAAAATGATGCTCTGTAGTGTGATAGCACTCAATTTCAGACCTCCATGCAGAGTGCAGCTAAGTAATCCATTTAGCAGGGATAGTAAATGCTCACACCATTTTCAAGACATAGTAATTAAGATGGTGAGTGTGAGAGGCTTGACCCTAGCCACAGGTGTGAGTGCTAAAACTTGGATTACATATTAGA